ACATACCTCACCAGTCTTCACTCTCGCTTCGCTGCTTTGTCACTCTTAGCTCGCCCTTCATTCATAATTGTGGTACATAGCTTCTCATCACCTTCTCTGTCTGTTTTATTTATTTATTTTTTATTGTCATATGTTAATTTTGTTTAGATCTGGACTTGTTTTTGACTTTATTTCTGTGGAATATTGGATTTTGTGGATACATGGCCAACAAATTGAAAGGAATGATTTGCAAAGTGGAGTATTAATTAATCCATGATATATGAAGATAGAATGCACGAGTCCACCTTAAAGTTAGGTAATAGGACCGGATCTGTTTTAAATAAAAAATAAAGCTAAATTTATTTTCAAAGATTTTTTAATTTGGATAAATCATTTCAAATTTAATATTTAATATAGATAATATCAGTAATCTATCAATAATGAATTTATCAATAGTACAATAAATCAATCAGTTGTTAACCTTATCTGATATCACATGTGAAATTTAAAATGATTTGTCTAAATGAAAAATTTTATAATAAATTGGTTCTTATTTTTTGTTTGAAAATGAATTCGTTTCTATTACTTAACTTTGAGGATGGATTTGAGTATTATAAGACATGAATAATGATGATCTTTTGCCATGTTAATATTTTTTAGATGTCGACTTGTCTTTGCATTTTATTGTTTAATCATTTTTTTATGAGCTGCGGCTTAATCATGTTAAGCTATCTACTGTTTGAGATGTTTCATGTCCTCAATACATCTAAAGTAATTATTATTCAAAAAAATATGAACTAATTATACTTTAGATTGTAAGTTTATTTCTTTAATTAGAGTTATTTTAAATCTATCAATTTCTTTTAAAATACCATAAATTTGATCGGGCCATACTGCTCTTCCATTGTTGGCCAAAAAAAAAAAAAAGAAAAATCCAGCTCTTCCATTAAGGGCGCTTAAAAATTTTAAATAGTTGAAGAAAAATATAGAAAGACCCAGAAAAATTAAAGGTTAAATGCTAAATTTGATCCTTCAACTTTATAGGTTTGCACTTTTTGATCCTTTGACTCTAAAAATTGCATAATTTTAGTCTCTCTGTCAGTTAAGCATGATATGGTAGTAGGGATGGTAATTTCTTTCGATCCCCACGGGGACGGGGCAGGGATGGGGAGCATTTTTTCCTCGTGAAATTTCGTGAGGAATTTTCTTTGCCTCGTGGGGCCTCGCAGGGATCCTCGTCCTTGCAAAAATATATATTAATTAAATTTTATTTATGTTGGTTTAATATTTGTTTATGTTTTAGTTTAATTTGGATTAATCTTTGCTTATATTTGGAACAAATTTGGTAATTGTTGGTTTAGTTGTTTATGTTAAATTGATTTTTATTTATATTTGAAAATTTATATTTGATTTTATATTTAAAAATTTTAGTTAATTGTATTCGAATTTTTAGAATTTTATTCATTATAATTGAATATTAATTAATTATATGTAAAAGACAAAAATTGTAATTTAATATTAATTGGTAGGGAATGGGGATCCCCGCGGGGAATGGGGACGGGAGGCAAAATTTGCTCATTGTCAAAAATCCTCACGGGGATCTCTGTCTTCGCCATTTGCGGGGACAGGGAAGGGGAGGGACTCCCCGGCCTTGCGAGGCATTGTTGACATCCCTATATGGTAGTTAAATAATTTCATATAGCATTTTCTTTTAATTTTTTTGATGACGTGGTAATAATATATATTATAATTATGTTATATAGATAAATAAAAATGTCACGTAAATAAATATTTATATTTTAATTAAAAAAATAAAATTACATTATTACCCTCACCTTTCAATTCCTCTTCTTCCCTCCCTTTCTCTCTTTCCTACCCAGATCGGTTAGGTTTCGATGAACCTAGCTCTGTTGGGTTCGACGAAACCCAGATCTGTTGGTTTCCATCAAAACCCAGTCTTGCTGGGTTTCGACAAACCCAACTGCTGGGTTTGTCGAAACCCAGCTGCTTGGTTTGTGCGACCAGAAAGGCTGGGTTCATGTTTTTTCATTATTCTTCTGGTTTTCATTTTTAGTTCTTGGTAAATTTGAAAGTTGATTTACAATTTGATTGTATTTTTGTTGGAATTTGATTAGAGTTTGATTGCATTTTTATTGGAATTTGATTTGATGAGATCTACTGGGCTTGATGAGATCTACTGGGCTTGATGAACTTAGTGGCTTTAATGATATTGTTTATTGAAGGGTTAATTTGATTTGATGAGATCTTCTGGGTTTGATAAATTTAGTGGTTTTAATGAAATCAGTAGTTAGGTTTGATGACAAAGAACTCAAATTTTGCTCTGGTTCATAAACATATTATTTTTTTAATTGATTCTTTGTAGGTAATGTGACTCATTTGAAGGGTTTTAGTACGCTTGATTTGTGAGAATATGACATGACATAATGTTTTGTCTATATCAGCATTTTTTTAAGTTGTTTTGTCCATGTCATCAACATGTCAAAAAAAAAATATAAAAAATGTCACATGAGCGGACTTAATTACCCAAATTGATGAAGTTGAGAGATTAAATTTAATATTTAACTTAAAATTAAATTTGACCCGACATCCCAACCCGAGGTTCCCGCTTTGGGTGGGTTTCCGAATCCCGTATTAGTCTCGAGCTCGACACAAAATCAAAATGACCCAATTCAGTAGACCCGCGAGTCAACTAGATTGGGTAAGTGCAAGAAACTAATTAATTTTTGAAAATTTTAAATATTGATAAATATACATTTAAGGTCTGTTTGGTGTACCGATTAAAATTTAGTGAATAATTGATAACAGGTAATGATTAATAGATAGCGATAGCGAGTGGCGGGTGACGGTTAGCCGGTAACGGGG